GTAAAGTCAACCTCTTTTGCTCAGCTCATTGGAACACTTATTCTATTTTATGGTATATAGTGTTGCCTGATTCCAGAATTACAATAAAGCCAATTGAGACCTTTAAACTAAATTTGTGACTTTGTGCTTTGACACTGCCAGATGGTGTAAGGTTTTTTGCAGTTATTCATGGGCCGATTTATCCTCACAAATAGGTCCATTCCTAAGGTGCTGTTATGGATCGAATCATCCTCTCCTTACACCCCCAATTCATATATTGAAGCCCTAACCCCAAAGTGACTGTATTTGAAGACAGGTCCTTTAAAAAAGGAGGGAATTAAGGCTAAATGAAGTCATAAGGATGAGATCCTAATCTGATAGGACTGGTGTTCTTATGAGAAGAGGAAGAGACACCAGGGGCCAGGGCACAGAGAAAAGGCCATGTGAGGAAACACTGAGGGGGAAGTGACCCAGAAGCCAAGGAGAGAGCCCTCACCAGAAAACCATCCCTGCTTGGTCCTTGATCTCGGACTTCTAGCTTCCAGAACTGTGAAGAAATAAATTTCTCTTGTTTAAGCGACCCAGTCTGTGGTATTTTATTATGGCAGCTAGAATGGACTAGTGTAAGTGGGCTCCTGGGTTATCCTTTGGAGTATACTGGTAGGGCAAATCCCACTGGGTTCTCTTCCACATTTTCGTACAAATGAATCCTACTCATGTAAACATTAAGAGCAGTCATGAAAGGGAAAAATACCCACAAAAGGCAGCCTGAGGTGTGGGAATAGAATGCAGTGGGAGGAGTGGTTCCACATCTTTGCCTTGGTGATGATGAGGACTGGGTAATTAACTTATGCTAGGTTTGAATATCTTTTCACAGCTACACCAGGACAGTTGTTACAGGCCAATGGCGTTGTCAGCATCATCATTTTGGGGCTGGAATGAAGTTCATAACTGGGAGTAAATGCTAAAGACAAGGAGAAACTCAGCGGTGGGGGGCGGTATATACTCTATGTTATATGGTTGATAATAAAAGAAAAGCTGACAGTTTAATGATTCCATTTCAATTCCCAAGTATTTTATAGCTAGTTAAGAATACTACACAATACCTAATAATTTTTTAAATTATCCAGTCTTCTTCCTAGACATGCCTTTTTCTGTTTTTGTTTTTTTTTTTTAAAGAAATAAAGAAAGAACATGGCTTTCAGATACATTTGCTGAAATTACCTTTACAGGGTCCCAATAGCCGAACGCACTTATATACTTGTAGGTAAAGGTGAGCATTTTCTGGGCAAGGGGTGCCGGAATTGGATAACATTTCTCAAAAATGCTCTCACGATTTTCCACCAGTAGTTTCAGTTTCGTATTCAATATATATTGTACAATGTGGACTTTCCGAGCTCCATTAACGAGAATTATTGGTATTAAGAACTTCTCAAATTCATCCTGATGAAATAAATCATAAAATCAAATATATTTTGTGTGAAAAAGGCTGGTAGTATTCGGTCACAGCACATAGACACTGCTGGGGACCAACTACTTCAGTCTAGAAAACAAGTATTTTTCAGTTTCCAAGTGGCTGCATGTTGGCAGCTAAACTTACTGTGACCCTTAGTGTCTTCCATGTTGCTCTTGATTTATGAACTTGTTTTCATAATTGTTAAGTGGTACTAACAAAAGGGAACACAGCCTACAGTATACATTTCTTTTTAAATGTTAAAAAGAAGTAAGGCATAAACCAAATTGCTATTGTTTCATTTTCAAATGTTACTTTTTGAATTACGAAAAATGAAGGGAAAGTAATAACCTGTATTGTTTGTAAATTATGCATATCTGTTTCAAATTTTTCTCCCAGTTCACCTCTCAGGCGTTCAACCGAGAAGTAAGGCATAAACCAAATTGCTATTGTTTCATTTTCAAATGTTACTTTTTGAATTACGGAAAATGAAGGGAAAGTAATAACCTGTATTGTTTGTAAATTATGCATATCTGTTTCAAATTTTTCTCCCAGTTCACCTCTCAGGCGTTCAACCACATCCATTTCCTGTTCTTCATCTTCACTCGTCTCTTCCTCATCTTTTGGGAATTCTTCTTCAAGGATGTTGTCAATGTCATCTTCATTGTCTTCAGGCTCATCGTCACTCATTTCTTCATCTTCTCTAATCGCAATCTAAGGAAGAAAATATTCCCGTGTATTACGTACACAAAGTATGTAACAAGTGACACTGTTAACAAATCATCTGGAGTATTTTGTAATAACTGGATATTGGTTGGTATTGTACGGCCACATTCATCTGGTAACACAGTTGGATTCTAAATATCTGGTGCCCAGAAATTTAATACCTTCAAGACTCTGACACCGTAGTGATCCTATAAGTAAATAAATAGACAAGATATTACATGCTGTTTATGTCTGTGGTTGTCAGAATGTTACACATTTTTGATGGTCTTCAGGAACAATATTTAATGCAGTTCAAAGAGTATAAAACACTTACTAGCTGTATTTACTGGGACAAGATCAGTTTCCTATGTGTAAAATAGGGATAACCAAAGTAGCTACCTCACAGGGTTGTTGGGAGCGTTCAATTAGCCCTTAGAAAAGTGTTTGGTACATGGTTAGTATGCAAATGATAGCTATTATTGCTGTCATCATCACTTTGAATAAAGTATTGTACTAACATATGCCCTTTAGGAGGCTATAGCCCCTCTGAGGAAACAAGAAGAATACATCAATGAAGAATACATAAATGACAATTGAAGACAATGATAGGATATTGGTACCAAGTTGTGTTGTACAGGCTTTAAGTGCCATAGTTCACTTTGCAAAACCGAACCCTACAATATATATCCTCCTGCACTGCCTCCATGCTGTTCTCACTGCATTATTTCTTTTCTCAGTTGGAGCATTGCCCTCCAGTGGGAAACCTGGGAGTTACATTGAACCTGGGAGACTCCTGGCTCTCCATACCTGCCCATTCAGCTACCCAGGATTTAATCCTAAATAGTGATCAATACTCTCTCCATTCTAGTCCCTCTCCATGGTTTGCCTTCTTATCTCTTGTCTGCAATTTTTTGATTAGCTCACTATTTCCTAATCTTTCTAAATGATCAGGTCTTTGTTCCTTTGAAAGGTGCCTGGAGCTGGGAAATGGACTTGTGTGTGCGGGATGAAGATGAGAGCCTGAGGGCCCATTCCTGCTCCATGCCCGGGCTCCCCTCTCTCCAAAAGGAGCTTGGCTGTGGGGCAGTGTTTCTCACTTCTGGTTCTTTTTCAAGAATTTTGAAACCATTTGGTCCTCTTACTATTTTTCCCTTTTCTTTATATTTTCACTTAAAAAACATTTTTTTTTTATCCTGAGATTTGATTTTCTAAGAATCATTGGAAGTATGGTGGGATGAAGCCACACTACGAGCCAGGGACATCTTAGTTCCAGATGAACTTGGCTCTCCCGTCTCTCTGGCTCTATCTCATAGCTCTTCTAACTTTCTTTCTTTCTTTTTTTAAATTAAAAACTTAAATGATAGAATTTTTAAAAGAAAGTTATTTTTGTTATAATGAACTCGAATTATATAGCATTACATAGGGTAAAAAGTCAGTCTCCCTTCACATTCCCAGCTCTATTTCTGCTCTCCTACCTGGAAATAATTTTGGTTAACAATTTGGTCAGAATCCTTTTTCATGTTTTTCTGTATATATCTAATTATATTTTATTTTAAACATAAATGTGGTTATTTTATTTTCTACAACTAGCTTTAAAAAACCCCTTAAGCAATATACAGATGCTCCTTGACTTACAATGACATTATATCCAGATAAACCCATTATAAGTTGAAAATATTATAAGTCAAAAATGCATTTAATACACCTAACTTACTGAACATCATAGCTTAGCCCAGCCTACCTTAAATATGCTCAGAATAGTTATGTTAGCTACAGGTGGGCAAAATAATCTAACATGAAGCCTATTTTATAATAAAGTGTTGAATATCTCACATAATTTACTGAATACAGTACACTGTAGAGTACTGGTTGTTTGCCCTCACTGTTGCAACATTATGAAGTTGGAAAATTATAAGTCAAACCCTTGTAAGTCAGGGACCATCCATATTTAAATTTCTTTCCATATCACAACATACATATTATTTTTAACAGCCATATAGTATTTCATAGTATCACAAGTTTATTTACGCATTTCTCTATTTTAAAAGTGTTTGTTCTTTTTCTATAGAAGCCAGTTTAGAAAGTAGCAAAATAAACAGTAAAAGGTAGCCACTTTCGACTGTTGTAATATTTTGAAAAACTGCTAGTGATGATGGAGAATTTAGCTAATTTATATTACTCCTCTTTCTCTTCTGCCTATTCCCTGGTTTTAGTTATATTTTTATTCTTAATTTTTTCAACTGAGTGCCTATAATGTTAAACACTATCTCCAAATCTCTATTTATTGAGTTATTCTCTTTAGATGTATGAGAGTATTTCAAAAAGTTAGTGGAAAAATAGAATTAAAATGTAGTACAAATCTTCCCATGAACTTCTTGGAGTACTCTCATGTATCCTGATTCCCCACGATTCAAGAGGATGTCCTTCCTCTTCCTTCCACTTCTCCTCTCTTCAGTTTCCAATTATTTGTCTCCAGTATTATTACATTTACATTTCTGTACTGTAACTGTAGTTCAGTATTTAATGCTTTATGTAGAAACTGATTCTAAAAATTGAAAGCAAACAAACAGCATTTCATTGATTCTGAAAATGGAAATCCAATAAACAGCCTGTTAATTTTAATTATGTAACCTTTATTCATTACAGCGGCAGATAGTGACATAAGAAACACAATTCTATATCGAGACATGTACCATTCTAAGGAGAATGTTTCTAGTACCAAGGTCAAATTTTATTTTTTGTTATTATTCAAAATCACGCCACATTCTAATTTGCCCATATTTGGGTTTTTCTTGTCTCTCCCCTTAGCCCCATATTTCTAAGGTTTTTGTCTACTTGTTGGTTTTTTGTTTTGTGGGCAGAAGAAGAATTATTAACTTTATCAGTTGGCTACTTTTTCATGAAGAATATATGAAAGACTAATTTTTGATGACCTTAAATGTCTGAAAATGTTTTCATTTCATCTTCACACATTATAAACAGTTTGGACAGGTATAGACTCCCAGGTTGAAATCATTTTCAGTTAGAATTTTGAAGGCATTGCCTGTGTCTTCTATTGTCCAGTATTGTTAGTGAGACATAAATCTTATCTGCATTCCTTTAGAGGTATCTTATTTCATTTTAGAAAGTTAAGATCTTCTCTTTATACTTTCCAATCTCAAATTTCATGATGATGTGCCTAAGTACATTTCTTTTCCTTTGTTCTGCTTGATATTCCATAAGCCTTTCAATTTGAAGACCCGCCG